CTGCTGTGAGCCTGGTGCACAGTGGCCGCTCACCTGTCCTCCTGGGGGTTCTCGCGAGGGATGGATGTGTGTTGGGTTCTGTTGTAGGTGGGAAACGAGAGGCTCTTGCCAAGGGTCATGTCAGGCTGTCAGAGTGCTAGTTTGAAATGGACTGAGAGAGAAAAAAAAAAAAAACAAAGGAGATAAATAGAAAGACGTGACCAAGATGGTACTCCAGACCCTCTTGAACTACTTTGTATTGAAATGGGGCTGCCTCAGAAAGTAGTGAACGGCTCAGTTAGGTGTAGGTGTCCTCACCATTAGAGGACAGAGAATCCGTTGGTTGAGAAGTCATTTTTGTGCAGTCGTAAAAGTAGTGATACAGAAATGAGCATCGGGTGTCATCTCCTAAAAGGGGTATCCACAAGAAGGGATAGCCCCACCCTAAGATAGCCTTGTTCTACTATTCAGAGTAGGAAATGGTTTTATCGTAACTTGAAACTTGGGAGGAATACACTGAACCTGACTGTTCTTAGCATTTGACATCACTCATCATTTTTAAACAACAGTCCTGTGTTTTTCTTCCCCTCATTTTCTTAAGAAAGCATACAGAGCCAGGTGTGGTGGTGCACAGCCTTTAATTCCAGCACTCGGGAGGCAGAGGAGGGTGCTGAACTTTTCCAATGCTCCATCTGTGAAATGGGGATGATAAGGTTGTCACCAAGAATACTGAAGTGCTTAGAACATGGCCTAGCATGCTGGGTTTGCCCAGTGACTGGCGTGATTTTGTTATTCTATTACACGTCTTTAACATGCTAATTAAGCAGAAATCTGCTAGGATTCTGTTACGGTTTCGCAGGAAACCAAATCACCGTAGTGACTGTAGGACTGAGGAAGAGTGGCTGGCCTTCCACTTCCACTTTTGTATGTGGTGCCTGGGCGCCATGTGTGGACGGATTTTCTTTGAGGTGCCAGCTCACAAAAAATGACATGGAGACTTATTAATTATGAAAGCTTGGCTATAGCTTAGGCTTGCTTTTAACTAGCTCTTATAACTTCAATTAACCCATTTCTATTAATCGACATGTTGCCACATGGCTTTTACCTCTCCTGAATGTCCTGCTTCCTCTCCGTCTCCTCTGGTATCTCTCTCCCACCTAGATTCATCTCTTCTCTCTCTCTCTCTGCCTTAAAGTCCTGCCTAACCTCTTCCTGCCTACTGTTGGCCATTCAGCTCTTTATTAAACCAATCAGAAGGTGCCTTGGCAAAGACATATCTTCAGTGTACAAAAAGATTATTGCATCCAGGGAGGCTGAGGAGTAAATGGGGATCTGATGGTCCTAGGTCACGGGGTCTGGGTAGTTTCTCAGCCTATTGGTTCATTCACATGTCATTTATCAGTACATCCTGATGGGCTCCTGTCAAATGTATTGTGACATGAAATACTGACTGGAGGTCGTTAGGTGCTCGTGTCTAAGCAGCCAGACTGGAGAATACACAAAGCTGGCGTTGTGTAACCAGCTTTCCCTGTCAATGTACTGTCCTTATGTCTGATGGTTATTCTTAATGAGAGGGCTGTCCAACGTGCAAGGCCCAGTTGGGAGGTAGTCCCAGATTCAAAGCTACCCTTCTGTAGTCAGATTGTGAACATCCTGAAAACTGAATGTTAAGTACTGAGAAGTCTTTCCAGGATCTAATAAGTAGTTTTCTATTTGTTGATTGGACAAAAGGACAGAGTAACTAACTCCTTTTGTTTAGCTTGTCTATGTCAAAGAGGGTAGATTGCAACTGTCCTGTGGTCTCTGAATGTCCACTGCTCAAGTCAGCCTGCTGCTCTCCTGTCTTCTTCACAGCCAAGCAGGTTGAATATCTGGTCAATGAGAAGCACATTTATCTACTGCCCAGCGGTCGGATCAACATGTGCGGCTTAACCACCAAAAACCTAAGTTACGTTGCTTCCTCCATCCATGAAGCTGTTACCAAAATCCAGTGAAGAAACACCACGTAGTCCACACCTCCAAAGCGGTTTTTTGTCCCGTCTTCCCTGCCTGCGCAAACCTAGTTGTCCATGTCCTGGATTAGAATGACTATGGTGAGGCAGCCACTGTTTAGCTGGCCCCACATGAAGAAGACTTCCTGAAATGAGCCGGGGCCCGGGGATTAGAGCCTTTTGGAAGCCAGAGCAAATCAAGGTTACTTAAGAATAAAAAGTACTTTGCTATGAGATGGAGTTAGCTTGCCTTCCTCTAGCATCCTGCAGGAGTGCTGCCCATGGAACCATGGGCTTCTGCATGTTGCTTGACTCTGTACAAAGTCCAGTCCCAAAGATCAAGTTGTCCGAGGAGCCGGGTGTGACTGTGGGTGTCGGCTGGGGCATTAAAACTCATCATCTCCACCCGAGTCTCTTGTCTCCCTGATCTTTCTGCATGGTTGTGTCCCTTGTCTGAAACATGAGTTTATTTAAGGTAACTGTGACAGATATTTACATCATGACACACAAATGGATATACATATTTAACTGAAATAAAAGTCCCACTAAATGGTACTTGCTCTTGTGATGTGTAGCACATTGTGATATTTTCTTAGTTTATTCTGTTGTGGTCTGTTTCATTTAAAAAATAAAAATGTTGATCAAGACACATGGAAATGAGTTTGTGTTCCATTAATGAGTTGTGACCCACAATTTAGAATGAAGGATTTAGAGGGATTCCCTAATGGCTAAAAGAAAACCAAACCAAACCAAAATGTGTTCTTGAAATATTAAGCTCTAGTGGACTCATGGCTGTGAATCCATGTTGCTTTTATGGGTTTATCATTCAGAGGACAGCCATGTTCTTAAGAAACTGGGATGATGTCATTTAGAGTAATTCTAGAATACCAGCCCTTCCCGTAAGAGCTGGAGCACCTCCTGGCATATTGGAAAAAAATAAAGATGCTTAAAAAAAGATGCTTAAACACGTCACAATTTCCAGAGTCCAGGGACTCTGCAAATGGTGGTTGTGGAAAATTGGTAAGGTTGTCTTACTTTAAGAAACAGAGTTACCACTTGGAAGCTTCAAAATATTTCAAAGTGGCTTTTCAGTATTTCCTGGGACTCCCGTGAGGTATAAAATCCTATAGTTTTCAAGATGATTGGCTCCTGGAAGTCACCAGGTCCAGCCCCGCTTCCCTCGTGAACAGCTGGCTTCATGTCCCTGACTCACCCTCCTGTCATCTGGGTGTGGTGAGGAAGTCTTTCCAAGCTTGGCAAGGCACTCTAGTCTGTTAGTGCTTTGAGTTAAAAAACTCTTTTACCTTGAGCCAGAATCCGGTCCGCTTGCGTTCCCCGCTCCTTTCAGGCAGTCGATCTATTGGTACTGAAACGGATGGCCTCCTACCTCTTGAAAGCAGCGGTGGTAATTCCTGGCCGGCTTTCCAGTGCAAACCTCTCTGCCTCCCTCCTTCATCACTGCCCAGATTGGCTGGCACTGACCCTGTAGGTGCGCCTGGGCTGGTGTGGGTGGGTGAAGCACAGGTTAGATGTTAGCTTGCCATGTCTTTGTTTCTGTTGGCACCTTTTATTAACATTGTTCTTCCAGATGTAAGATGCTGTCATGAGTAAGGGGAGGCGGTCACCCCAGAATGAGTTTTCTGTCATTCTCCCTAGGCGTGGCTTAAGCCATCAGGGGACAGTACCTTCACTGGGGTCAGACTTGCTTGCTGAGAGCAAGGAGTCTTGATTTGGCAGGAGAGATGGCTGAGTGGGTTAAGATTGCTTGTGGCTCTTACTGAGGACTGGGATTTGGTTCCCAGCACCCACGCGTGGTGCCTCACAACTGCCTGCGATTCCAGTTAAGGGCATCCGACAACCTCTTCTGGCTTCCAGTGGTACCTACATAGACTAAGGCATGCACATAAATAAATCTTTAAAAATAATAATCTTGATCATTTGATCCAAAATGTAGTTCTACTCCGGAAACTTTTACTAGGATGTAGTTAATTTTTCTTGTTAGGGAAAAGTAATTTTTCTCTAGGGGAAGTGCTCAAACCATTAGAAATAAGGGACAGCTTCAGTGGCTGTTCCAGTGTGCTAAAGATGCTTTTAGAATTAAAAAAAGTCAAGTGAGAATTTGGTGTTAATTGTGTGTGTATATGGCCTTTCGTTAGTGTGTCCTATACTGTGTCTAGGGCTCTGGATGTTTGGGGAAAGCTGTAGGACCTCTCAGACATGGTTCATGGTGGACTTCAGAGGTGGGGTTAGTGACAGAGTCTGTCTACTCACAAACAGGACACTCAGACTTGCCAGTTCCTGGTAGGGCAACCGTAAGCAAGTTATCCAACTTCTCAGGCAACCTTTGCGGGGCAGTTTTGAGAAATGATCTAATGGGTCCTTATTACAACACTTGGTAGTAAAGCCCAGAGCAAAACAATTGTTACCGTATTAGGGATCGAACAGCCTCTATTGAGTCTCCAAGGAGAATCTTAAATTGTTCTGGCATGGCCCACTAGTGGTGTTACACACCTTGCCAGCGGCCTGGCCTGGCTGTCCCACCATCCAGAGCTGGCTTCCAGCGCACCGTGTCCTCCGGCCCACGCCCCTGGTCTTCCCTCTCACCTCTGCTCAGGAACCACTGGATGCATGCCTTCTTTCCGGAGTCTGCAGGAGCCTGCTAGTGTGAGCAGCGGAGTCTCGGGCGTGTCTGGGTCTGGCCCCCAGGGTCCTGCACTTTTCTCATGGTCACATGGACTCAACTGGCAGCGTCCCTTCTCATTATCCTTAATACTCCCTTGTCTCCATTTACACCCAGGTTCCTGTTTCACTTCCCACTGCTGCCCTTCATTCTTATAAAATCGAACCCATCTGGCCTCCCAAAGTGAAGTACCTGAACGTCCCTGTAACCTTACCTCAGCCCCACACCTGCCTCGAGGAAGGCAGCAGGGCCACAGGTGAGATGTTTACACCCGTGCATTGTCCAACACACATCTCACATGACACCACTTTAGAACTCCGAAATTCCATGGGCAATTGAAGTGTCCACAGTCCAGGAAACACATTTTCATTTTATTCAAAAATTATTTACAATTTATTGAGCCTTCATAAATGCTTTATTTTAAAATCTTTTTTTAAAATTTATTTTAACCTGAAGAAAATGTGGGGGTCTGGGAGATAAGGAAAGGAGTGGTGACAGGCTCCTTAGATGTTCTGCAGGGGGGAGGGAATAATACAACAGCAGTGGCCTGGGCTGGTGGCCTAAGGGATAATGAGAGGGAGCGTTGTTTGTCCAGCAGGCTCCCTTGCGAATTCTCATTCAAAACTCATCACTTACTGGCCTAGGTCCGAGACCCCCAGCACCGAGTGCTGGCACTATCTATCCTGACCAGGCAGGAGCAGGCAGGGAGTGGTGGCTATGGAATTAGCTAGAACACATGCATGGCTGAGCCTCAGGCCAGCCAGGCTGAGCAAGGGGCTTGTGAAGTCAGGGACACACACACACACAGAAGAGGCATCCTGGCTCCAGTCTTCCCTCCCGTCGGCCGGGGCCCTCTCGGCAATACCGACTGTGGTTTGGTAGACAATGGGCAAAAGTTACATGGGATGTAGGTTGTACCATACTGTGTGGTGTGCCAAGGATTTCTGAGGACCCTGTCTTGGTGCCAACCTTCCCCCATTCACAAGAATGCTTGACCACTTACAATTAAACACCATTCTCAAAGTGTCCAATATTCACTCTGCATTGCAGAAACACTGGGCTGAAAGTTCCACTATTTAAAACTATTAAAAGCCTTTGTGGGTCTGGGAACTTTGAGAATATTAAGAAAGCTTCAAGTCTCTGGAAAACACACAAATATGCTAAGTTCCGACAGTTTTAAGGGCTTCATAGGCCCTCTGAAGTCAAACTACGGACTCCCCTGGAGTAACAGCCCCAGGTTAACAACCCCTGAGTTAAGTAAAGTTCCTGTGGGCAATCATTTTCCTTTGAGACACAGATAACGTAGAGGAATTATCAGCTGTCCATCTGCCTGTGACTGAGTGGGGGGAGGGGGAAAGGTGGCTTGGGAATGGCTTGGAGATGCAGCAGGCAGAACTGCATCTCTGGGTACTGACTGGAGGTGTGCAAGGGCTGGGAAATAAATCAGAAACTCAAATTCAAACTCAAACTTGACTTACGTTTTCCCTTAGGCTGGCTGCATTTCCCAATACCTACAATAGTCTTAGGAGTAGATATGCATGCTCACTCTGCCATCTTGTGGTTGTAATTGGAATTGCACCTGCCTTAACATCCAGGACTCAAACCCCCTGGATCTAGTAAATTTTTGGAATACTTAGCTGACCAGCAAGGGATATAGTAAGTGGCTGACAGTGGGGGTATGTGAAAAAGAAAAGTGAGCATTCAACATTCCTGTGTCAAGCACACTGAAGTCCCGTGACAGCACGGATCCTTCCTGTCTGAACTGGGCACTCTTTGGTTTATCATGGCTAAACTCACTGTAACTGAACCATTTTTTTCATGTACGTCTTTTTTTCCTGCTTTGATTTTCACTTAAACCCTGAAGTTCCACGTCTGGCTCACAACTTGGTCTCTGTGCTCCCTGATCCTCCCCTTGTGAAGCAGGCTTATTGAGAGATTAATCACTGGAAGCCCAAACTCACACGTCCTGGGGAGATACAGTGACCCAAGGCTTCCTCTCTTGCCCTTCCCCAGGCTTCAGAGAGAATCCAGGCACTGACAGGGAGTCCCACACTCTGAAGCTCTGGTAGAAGAATCCTTGTCCATCCCTGGAACTGATCTTCGTACCTGCTCCTCTAGACTCTAATACACCTCTCTCTGTCTGCATCACCTCCTGAGTTACTGCTAAGCATGAACTATGGTAGAAAGGGTTATTTTGTTCTGGAAGAAAGCATGGTGGGTTCCAGGACATGGGTCTCCTGTGGCTCAGGGACACCAAAGAACAAAGACTATCACTGGGAGCCTCAGAGTGGCTTTGTTAGCTTGGAGTCATCTCCCTGCCAGTCCTGGACTATGCTACGGACGAGACCACGTCTAGCATCTTCCATTACAGGCATCTCCTTCTGTGTCACACTGGAGACAACTGGGAAACTCGCCAAACTGACTGTGAGGGGTGTAAGGTGGAGGGCAGAGTGTTCTGTCACCGGTGGGAGGCCTTGGGGGAAGCAAGTGATGGGAGGGCGGCTCTTCCCCCAAAGCCTTGGAATCTCACACCCAGCCAATGAGGTCTTCCCCTCATCATGTGATCAGAGGTGTTAAATTGGAGTTTTCCTCGGAGGCTCTCTCTCCATCTGCTGACCTCTTCCTTTTCCCACCACCTGAAAAACAGGTTGCCAGCATCAATCCGGAGCTAGGGAGGACAGCCTCAGCAGGCTGAGGGCTCCTCCACACAGAGGTGGAGGAGGAGACAAACCCCCACTTTGGAATGCAGGCAACGGAACCCGCATTACACCACGGTGTTGATGTCAGCACATCTGCATCCTGAAGCAGTTACCCCCAATCCCAGGCATCAGTCTGCGACAGAGAGTTCATGGAAGGGACTAAGGTAGGCCCTGAGATGCTTTCTCTCCCTTCCCTGGACAGCCCCAGCTCAAGTGACTTCCAGACTCCCCCAAAAAGTACTAGTCTCCCAGTCTTTGATGTCCCATGGGCCGGAGTTGGCGGGTAGAGCTGGGAGCCATTCCCAAGGGCTCTGTTTCAGAACATCTGCCCACTCTGGGCCAGTGATGGTGGCTGCATAAATGTCCTCAAAGATGGAAGAGACACTTTTGCAGCTCTGCGGTTTTCAGGAAGGAACATTTTCATCCCGCTCTCTCTGCCACTGACCGCTGTCTAAGGAGGATACTGCTCTCTTTTAAAGAACATTTAGTGTGTGTGTGTGTGTGTGTGTGTGTGTGTGTGTGTGTGTGTGTGTGGTTTTGTGGGTACTGTGGTATACATGTGGAAGTCAGGCGACTACTTGTGAGTCAGTTCTCTCCTCTCGCCATGTGGGGCGTGGGAATCAAACTCAGGTCCTCAGGCTTGCAGCAAGCACCTTTACCCACTGACCCATCTCCCTGGCCCCTGCGTCACTTCCTGTGGTGTCTCCTGGACACAGAGGTTTTCTTCAGAGGACTATATAGTGAGTATTATGGGTTTTGTAGGTTCTAAGGTCTCTGTTGCGATTATTTAACCCTGCCATTGTGGTCACATAAAACAATGGGCCGAATGATCCAAAGATCTCTACCCATAAAGAACAGGAGGAGGAAGGAGGTCAGAATTTGACCTCAGGGCATGTCTGCAGACTCTTACCACCAGGTCACCAATGGAATGGGACAGATTCGAACAGTATTCCAGGCTTGCAAGTCTTCCCCTGGGAGAAGGATCCTAACACGCTGTTCCTGATACTTGGTGAGGAGCTTTGGTCAGGGAGAGAAGATACTCACTCAAGGTTCTCAGCAGCTTCTTGCCCATGGTTTCCTCAGAGTCGCTGCTGCAGGGGCTGGCCTCTGGCTCCAGGTGGATGTTACAACATTCAGCCTCGGAAGCTGAAAGGAGAGTAAACTCAGGTCTCCAACTTAAGTGTCAGGACCAGGCAGGGAGATTCCGAGTGCTGCCTCTCTGTGAGTGACAGGGTGGAAGGGTAGGACCTCTCAGTGTCTCAGTGAGTGGCAATACCGAACAGTGTGTGAGTGTGCATGTGTGGTGTGTGTGTGTGTGTGTGTGTGCGTGCGTGCGTGTGTGTGTGTGTGTGTGTGTGTGTGTGTGTGTGTGTAAGTCAAAAGACAACTTGGGTGTGTCCTGAAGGGTGTTGTCTATTAGTTAGCAAATGGCATTTTTACTGCCATGAAAGAAACAGAGAGACAATGGGTGCTGTAATCCAGCAGTCTATGATTCAGAAATAATTCTCTCTCCTCAAATGCCACCTGGCAAGAGAGAGGGAGAACATACTGTGTGCTCTGCCTAGTGTCTGTGCCAGACAAAAAGGACACCTGAGGCCACTAGATGTCACTTTCTTTTACCAGTAAAACCAAAGGCTCAGCAACAACTGGGCACATGCCCCTGGCTTCCTAGAATCTCAGAGCCCAGAAAGGGTCCCAGCTGGGAGGCAGGGTGCTGTGTTGGAAACTGACCTGCACCCAAAGCCCTGACATGGAGTCCACTTCTAACATGGTCACTGGGTGTGGACGATGCTCAACCTTGTGTGTTCTCAAGTCCACTCAGAGGTGGGCTAGATGTTCTCCAATGTCCATCCATCTCCATTCCCTCTCCTTTGCTCTATCTCCTAACTACATGCTTTAGCAGAGCTCCTAAATTTGGTGTGTGTGGGAGAAAAAGATCTCATTTTTTTTTTTTTTTTTTTTAGTTCAAATCCTGGACTGGTGACTGTTTGTGCCATCTCTCTGGGTTTGGTACACGTTGTCTCACTGATCTTACAAATTCAGGAGCCTCTGGAGATCTTTGCTTTGGATACTTGGTGTAGAGTGAGGTAGCTCTGAAGCCCTGGGACTGATGGCCTGGTGGGTCGGTGTGTGGAGTGCCCAAAGCTTGAGGCTGTCTACCTTCGTGAGGAAAGCTGGCTCTCATTGCTGCTGGGACACAGGGAGCTTTGAGCAGCTCCACCATCAAGGCAGAAGTGAACCGGGTCTCAAATGAAGGGATCTGAGAACACAGGGAAAGTTCCAGAGATTTTGGCCTGCTCTATGGCCCAGAGGAAGTGAAGAACCCCAGTGAGGATGGTGGCTGATGTCAGTTTTCTTCCTTCCTTCCTTCCTTCCTTCCTTCCTTCCTTCCTTCCTTCCTTCCTTCCTTCCTTCCTCCTTCCCTTCCTCCCTTCCTCTTCTCCTTCTTCTTTTTTAGTTTTTCCAGATAAGGTTTCTCTGTAGCCCTGGCTGTCCTGGAACTCGCTCTGTAGGGCAGCGGCCACAAGGCTGCCCTTGATGTCAGAGTGCAGCATGCTGAACTTATCTGTAGGGTAGTTGTAATATTTATAGAGTGTGATACCAGGCACCGGTGTGCTCTATATATACATTCTCTCCCTTAGACTTGAAACTGCTTTATGATACAACTACCATTATTTATATTTATTAACTTACTCTGGAAATTTACCTATTAGGATAAGGAAACTGAACCTTAGATTGAGTATTTGCTTAAAATTTCATAGTTCCTAAAAATCCAGTGTGGTGGCACATGCTTGTAATCTCAACACTTGGGAGGCAGAGGCAGGAGGCTCAGAAGTTCAAGGCCATCCTCTGCTACAAAGTAGGTCTGAGGCCAGCCTGGGTTACATGAGACCTTGTGTTAAAAAAAATCTGAATTGAGAGGCTAGAGTCTGAATCCAGGCAGAAGACAGCTCCTACCATTGCTCAAGTTTTCCTGGAAAGATGAATTAGATGGGCCCGATACATGGTAGGAGCTTGGTAAATGCCAACAGCACCCCCCTCGCCCCATCCCTCTCTCTCCCCTCTCTCTCTCTGTGATACAGGAGCTGGGGTTCCAGGGTTCCCCCAAGCCAGCTTGTTCTGAATCATGCTTGCGTCCCAGAGTGGTGATCTCCTTGCTCCTCTGGACCCAGCTCTGACCTGCTGTTGTGGGAACAGCTGCAGGGGACAGGGAGAGCTGGTGTGTCTTGTGCTCCTCAAAGCTGGTCATTTCTTCCTGGGGGAAGGCCATCTCCTCCATCCTCAGGTATACGACCTCGCCGGGGCTTCTCAGACCATCTGAGCGGCTGCCTAGGGAGGACAGTGAGTACATTACCTCTGTGCCTTGGAGGAGCCCTGTGGCTCTGTGAGGCACAAGATGGCTGCTGGGCAGAAGTGGGGAAGGAAGGGAGGGCCGTTCATACCACACAGCAGCCCAGCCTATCTGCCAGACTGACTCACACGGCAAGCTGGTCCTGTTGCTCAGGAGTGTGAGGACTGGGTCATCCTTTGGAGTCTGGGGTGTGCCCCGGGTCGTGGGGGCCTTGGTGGAGTCCCCATCAGTGAAGGCTTCCATGTCTGGGGACTGGGGCGAGCTGTCCATGTGGCAGGCCGTGAGCGCATTCTGGTACTGCTGTCGTGTGATCTGGAAGGAAGGAAGTGGACCGAGGCTCAGAAGAGCTCTGTGGACACTCTGTCCATAAGCAGCTCCACTGGGGTGCTTTGCAATGCCTGGTCTGAGGCCTGATGTCATGAAGTGCTGCATTAAGCCCAGCAGGGGAAGGACAAGGGAGGACCCTTTCCTTGCTGACCACCAATTCCCACGGCTCATTCTTATTACTGGCTTTAGACTTCGCAGTGCACTTGGAAGAACCTGCCTGGACCTCTTCTGTGTTGCCATAGCAAACTAGCTAAGCCTTGCACTTTACACAGAAAAGAGGTTTGTCTGGCTTGAGAGCCCCGTGGTTGGAAAGTATAACCAGTGTGGAGTTGGTGCTTGGTGAGCGCCTCCCTGGCTGTATCACAAGCTAGAGAAGCATAAAGAGAAAGAGCTGACTGCAGCAAGGGGCTAGGCACCCAGGCGAACCTTGTTCGACAGCAGCCTGATTTCCGGAAGACCAGTCCAGTCCTAGGAAAATGACACTAATCCCCTTCAATGGTGCTCCCCCAAACCCACTCACTTTCCTCTAGGCTCCACCTTTGGAAGACCCGCCTCCTAATACTGCTACACTGGAGACTTCGTTAACCCGTGGGGACACACTCAAACCATATCTAAACCAGGGGAACGGAACTGCTGTAAAATGCTCTATCTTCCTTTACTCCGTTTGCATACTTGGGAAGTTTCCACCCCTGCTGCACCTGTACTGAGCTCCGCTTCAGACACTGCTGGGTGGGGGGTGGGGGGTGAAGAATGATACAGGAATTAATGACTACTTCTTGATAACAACTCTAAGGGAGGGACCCCTGTGAGATGCTGAGGTCCCTGCCATTGGAAGCATTCACCATGTTAAACCCCCACTTGTTGACCCTGTCGTCCTGGCTAGTGTTACATCAACTTAAGACAAGCTAGAGTCCCTGGAGAGGAGGGAGCCTCAGCTGAGAAAAGGCCTGCATAAGGTTGTGCTGTAGGCAAGCCTCTAGGGCATCTTCTTAGTGGTTGATGGGAGAGGGTCCAGTCAGTTGTGGGTCAGGGCCACCCCTGGGCTGGTGGTCCTGGGTTCTATAAGAAAGCAGGTCGAGCAAGCCCAAAGGAACAGGCCAGTAAGCAGCCCTCCTCCATGGCCTCTGCATCAGTTCCTGCCTCCAGGTTCCTGCCCTGCTTGAGTTCCTGTCCTGACTTGCTTTGATGATGAACAGTGATGTGGAAGTGTAAGCCAATAAACCCTTTCCCTTCCTAAGGTTCTTTGGTCGTGGTGTTTCATCACAGCAACAGAAAGTCCAGCTAAGATGCCTGCTATAAAGAAGATCCAGACAGCTACAGCCAGGACTGGACGTGAGGAGAGGCACAGTGGTGTGTGTGTGTTGGGGGCAGTGGTTGGCCCTGGATACTGGATAAAGGGTAGAGTTGGGGGAGGGTCTGCGTGTCCGTAGGTGGCCATGAGAAAGGGAAGGTGCCGTTGATCGATTACCTCTCTGTTCTGACAGCTTTGCTTTCACACTGCTCTAAGGAAAAACAAAATTAAACCTGAAAGTACCACTGTGCTAATGCATCACTTAAAAACCCAAAACCTCTTGACATAAGGGGCTATAGAGAAGGCTTAGCAATTCGGAGCACTTGTTTTTGCAGAGGACCTGGTCTGATGCCCAGGCATACACAGCCATGTATGTGAACAAAACATGCATACACAGAAAATAAAATGACTACATCTAAACAAAATTAGAAAAGAGAAACTGTTGACATACACTCTGGTTTGAAAAATGGATGCAGGTTCAAATATCCAGTTTCATCATTTCTCTCCCTTGGAGCAAGTTTTGTTATTAGCGCTAGGGGATGAACCCAGGGCTTAGTACGTGCCAGACAAATGGGGTACTGCTGCCTTACACTCCCAGCCCTGACAACTCTTCAATTTAGCATGTTACTGTTAAATAGAAATACTGTCTAGTAAAGAAAAGAGAAGCAGACCAATGAGAGCTACATTGTACCACCCTGTGTCCAAAAAACAAACAAGAGAGAAACAGGCGAAAACATTTTATCACCATGGCCTTGACAGTCAACAGTTCTCACTGCTACCAGCCCAGAACTGGGGCAGCCAGACCCTTTTCGAGGTCTCTTCACTGTGCTACATCTACTGACCTTCCATAGCCATTTGTGGGCGGCGCTGCACACGACACTGCCTTAATTCCGCTCAGGTTCCTTCCTAATTTTGAAAGGTTCAGACAATCTCCAGATAATATAGTGCTTTAAAAATGCCACATAGGCCGGGCGGTGGTGGCGCACGCCTTTAATCCCAGCACTCGGGAGGCAGAGCCAGGCAGATCTCTGTGAGTTCGAGGCCAGCCTGGTCTCCAAAGCGAGTACCAGGAAAGGCGCAAAGCTACACAGAGAAACCCTGTCTTGAAAAAACCAAAAAAAAAAAAAAAAAAATGCCACATAGTTTAGTGCCTGCACTGGTCATTGTTATTTAACTTATTTTTTCCCTCTTAACTATTTGCAAGGTTGCTTTTATATAAAACATTTTACATTTTACATGTTTATATCTTTCTTTCTTTCTTTCTTTTTAGATTTAAAGTTTTTATGAGTCTGGGTGTTTTGCCTGTATGTATGTCTGGTGCCCATGGAGGCCAGAACAGGGTTTCAGATCCCCTGGAAGTGGAGTTATAGATGGTTGTGAGATATCATGTAGGTGCTTGGAATTGAACCGGGGTCCTCTGGACATGCAGCCTGTGCTCTTAACTCCTGAGCCATCTCTCCAGCCCCCATATTTGTATCTTATAGTCAGATATATTTAAAATACTGCACAGTGGTCATCTGCAATGCTAACGCTCAGAAAATGCACAGTGATTGTCTGAGGAAGCTAAACAAACTGATTTCCAACAGATACCATTTCCCCTCTCATTCTTGCTGCAATGCAACCATGTCCTAACAGTAACTGGGTTTAGAATGTCTTTTCTAACTTGGGCCAGTTAATAATTTAAGCATCTCCTAAATTATTACTTTGAAACTAACAAAAGGTAAGCTTCTCTTTTGGGCATCTTGATTTGGCAGCCAAGGCACCCAGAAGTGAACCTTTAGGCTGTGAGTATCTCTTGCCATTTCATGAACTTGTGATTTGGGGATGGTTTATTAACCTTCAAAATACGATCCTGCAATTTAGTGATTTTACCACTAGATGGTGATGGGGATCTTGGTCAAAGTCATACAACCCACACTTCTAAGGTACCTGCCCAAGATTCTTAGCTTAACAATGATGCCTACAGGACACACACTCACACCCCCCCACCCCCCCACCAACAACAAACAACAAAAAAAACCAACCAAACCAAACCAAACCAACCAACCAACCAACCAAACAAACAAACAAACAAACAAACAAAAAACACCAACCAAACAAAACCCCCGAAAACAAAAAATTCACAAGGACTGGTGGCTTTATAATATATTAACATCTATGAATTATGACTTTAAAACCTTTCCCAGAAGAACCATAAGATGTACCTTTCTATCTCATTTTAAACTTGTCTTGAAATTGTATTTCTCTTTAACTTAATAATTTTAGAACTTAAGTTTACTGGACAAGGAAGGTCACTGAGGACCTTTCCTGCTGCCAGCCACTGGAGTTTGGGCCCATGAATACACTTCTCCATGCAGTGGTCCTTTAGGTCCACAGGTACTGTATGGCTCAGATCACTTGCCTGGGGTATCTGAGGCCCCAGGTTCAATCCTCAGAACAACACAATAAAATAAGAAAGCATAGAGATTCTCCTGGCTAAAGAGAAGGTCAGAGCCGGGAGAGAGGTGGAGGAAGTTGCCTCAGCAAGTTCCTGAGCATCTTTTGAATTGGGAGGAGGGGATTTTTCCGCTTACATTTTAAGAACTATCTTATATTACACAGCAAAGGAGAAAACCAACCCCTAACGCATTTGTCTTGAATTTGAAAAGTGCCCCTCAGTAGAAAAGTTTTCTGAATCCACAGGCGTAAAGAGTTTGACTAACCCTTTAATTAGACACCCTTCTCAACTTTAAAACATTTAGGTGGAAAAAAAGGACTGTTTGGTGTTTCCCGGCAGCTTGGACCAGATCCCGATCCTCTCATGTGACAAAAAGAAACATACGATTCTCAGATCTCCTGAGAACTGGCCTTAGATTCAGGGTTCTCTCTGTCTCAGGCTGGAAAGTTTTCCTTGTTATTTGGGGAAATTTCCCTTTTCTTAGGTCTAGGAGTGGGGACGAGTTTTAGGAAAACCTTTACAAATTTCCTCTAGCCAAGGTCTTCTCAGTACATTCCTCTGAGGGACTTCCAAATCCAGGCCCTATTGTCCTATCCAATCTAGTCAAGACAAGGACCACTCCTCCAAACCCTCAGCTCCCACATCTGCTTATTTAAACCTGATGGATAAGTAATCTCACTTTCCACTCCATAGCAGCAAACCAGACTGGACACTAATTTGTAGTGGGTAGCTGTTCCAGCTATGACCTTGAAGCACAGCCCCTAGTGAGGTAGCAGGTAACTCTTACATCTGCCTATGACTTGAAGTACATGCCCCTGGGTCATGGCTGCTGGGGCTGGGGAGAACACCCTTAAGACCTGGGATATATGTACGCAGCACTCTCTTTACTCCCTCGTGGTTCTGGATGCTGGGACTGACCAGGCAGGTCTTAAAAGAAGATCAGCATGGGACATAGCTCGGCTTTTCCGGAGCCTACAATAATGCCTATGCTATAGTGAGTTACCTGTACCCTAATAAATTCCCTTGCTCATTAAATAGACTCTGGATTTCTCACATTACTGATTTTTCTGAACTTCAGCCATAAATAGTGCCATCTGACCCCCAAAATCTATACACTACATGCTAAAACCTAATCCCCCAGGAGAAGGTATTCAGGAGGAGGGCTTTGGGAGGGGGTTAGGTCTTAAGGGTGGTGGGTGCTGTGCCTTCTCTTCTATGAGGTCTTGTCTCCTTTCTCTGCTCTCTAACATCTGAGGACTCAAAGGCTGTGAGAAAGTGGGCCCTCAACACACACTGACCTTGACCTGCCAGCCTATAGCAGATTAAGCCATACAATTTGTGACAGTAGCCTGAATTGACTTCCTGAATTGAACAGGAAGGTCCAAGGGGGGGAAAAAAAAGCCCTCCTCCCCTCTTCCCCATCTAAATGTTTTAAAATTGAGAATGGTGACCAATTAAATGCCCTTTAAACCCGTGGCTTCAGAAAACTATTAATCCTACTTAACAGTTTTTTTTTCCCTTCCCAATTGATGGAGCAGTGCGCTAAAAATAGAACCCAAATTCCATATGCTGCCCCAGAAGGCCCAGGGGCTCTGCTTCCGATGCCCCCTTCCCATCTCACACCAGCAACTGCCTCTGCTCTTCACAGGCCAGTGTTCAGATCCCCGACACCCCCAGCACTGTGGTTTCCATTCTGAGCATGCTCCCTCCCTCCCTCGTCAGCCCTCAGCAAGTGCCCTCTCCTCAGCCCTCTCTGATGGCCACTTCAGGAGTAGCCAACCCACTTGTCTCTCTACCCAGTCTCTCTTCATGCCATGGCTCTGTCATCAGCACTTGAACTTACCTGGTTTATGACGTGCTAACCTGCCTCCCTCACCCTGCTGCTGTAAGCTCTAGAGGCAGCTGGCACAGTATCTCCTCAATGCTAAGGCAGAGCAGACAACGTGAGATGGCTGATAAACTGTGTCCTGAAATTTTGAGCCCAACACTGCAAACCAGTGGAGCTAGCACACTGGCCCCTCTTATCACCCTCCTCCTACCTCCACCTCGGAGGAAGGTCCCCAGGAGCACTGAGAGGTTTTCCAGGCTGGAAGTCACAGGGAGTAAAGTAAGCCTCTCTGCTCCCAGGCCTGTTAGATGTCCAGTCACAGCCCTGAGTAGTTCTCAGCTAGGCTGTGGTGGCTTCTCCCTGGGCTAACTTTCCACAACTCTCCCTTCAGTCCAGTGATTCCAGGGCCTGGACTCCAGAAGCAGACAGAAGTGTTAACTCTGAAGTGTGATTCCACCACTTTTCAGCCAGATGATCTTGCGTTCAAGCCTCAAAGTCATCTGTACAACGGGAATGGCGGTAGCACACACCTCAGAGAGTGGTAGTGAGATGGAGCAGGTGATTCTGGTAAAGGACTCAGAGAAGATCCTCGAAGAGTGCTGTCCACCCAGCAGTCCTTACCCGGCCCTGTCTTAGTCAAGGGTTTCTATTGCCGTGAAGAGGCACCATGACCAGCTCTTATAAAGGAAAGGCAGAGATGGTACTGGGGAAGGAGCTGAGAGTTCTACATGTTGATCCCCAAGCAGCAGAAGGGAATGCCATATAGGCCTAGCATCTGAGACCTCAAAGCTGTCCCCACAGTGACACACTTCCTCCAACAAGGCCACACCTCTTAATAGTGCCACTCCCTATGAGCCAAGCATTCAGATACATGAGTCTATGGGAGCCCTTCCTATTCGAACCGCCACATGCCCCCCTCTGGCACGTTCTGCCCCTTTTGCTGGTCATGTTCAGTGGTTTCTTCTTTTCACGGCTACTTTTATTGGCTGACTATCACTGAAGTATCTGCAGAGTCCTGGCACACAAAACCAGCCAGCACACCCTAGAAGTAATCAGTGTTGTGGGCAGAAGGAAATGACCTCCTGTCACCGTGTGATTTCAACAGTCGGCAGTTACCAAGTGTACTCACTGATGCTTCATTGCACTGGGATAAGTGGGCTCTAGCTAAGGTCTCAGGGCCGAGTTTATAATGGTTTGCTGGATGCCAGGAAAGAAAATCCAGCAGAGTAAGAGAAAGGTAGAAGACTGAAAGGACTCCCAGGCACTGCAACCCTACGGAAAGATCTGAAGAGATGCCAGCCTTTCTCCTCAGTGCCTCTGTCCACGCTGCACTTCAGAGTGGATCTTCAGTGACCCATTTTCATTTACGGCTTAGAAATGCTCTCATGTAAGTCAATATACTGTCGTAGAAGATGATCATGGTTTTCTACATGCTTGGCTTATTATTCCCTTGCTGACTGACTTTGAAAGAAATGGACAGAATCATTCCGGTGCCAGTGGCAGGGGTCCAAAAGAGACAGTTCTGTCTAGAAATATATCTCAGGCAAGCTCATCTCCCTTTAATTTGTGCCTTAGTGTCTCCACATGAAATAAAGGATCGGGAGTCTTGACTGGGACAAATGATTAACAACAACAATAATAATAAGCAGTCACGATCAAGCTTACTAAAAGCAGGGCTTTGTACAGTCAGGGAGGGGCTGCCACCCAGCATGGTCCTGGGACAGGGGGATGGAATGGGGAGAAAGGCCTGTCCCACTCCCGCAGCCAGCTGCCCTCCTGGAGGCGTTACCTTCACAAACTGCACATCACTGAGGATGTGCACCGAGTAGTCGGGTGTGTAGAGGTTGTTGCTGCTGCTGTACAGCTGCGTGTTGCTCCCACCAAAGTCACTGCGCTCTCGGTTTGGAGACTCGGAGCGATTCAAGCCGCTGCATCGAGAAGGGGACCGGTTTACTGCAGATGGTGAGGAAGAGGGAGGGGATGGAGAGAAGAGGCAAGGAATGGCAGGTGGGAAAAAAAGAGGAAGGACGAGAGGAAGGAGGAAGAGAGAAAAGGTGCTGTTTACCGAGGTCCCATGGCACTACCAGGCAGTGGTGGCATTGCAGGGTCAAGGGCCCACACTCCACCAAGAAAGGAGTGGCTTGTTGGGGTTGCCTCCTGTGAGGCACCACCTGACCCAGGGAGGAAGCCAGAGTGCTTGTTTTCCCTAGATGGTGGGCAGAGGTGGGCTGTCTTGGCTCCTGTCTTCAAGTTATGTACATGAGGACCCCCAAATATACAAGAGTAGTGCTATGTACATGGTACACAGCAGAGACCCCTCTATTGGGGCAAGGCACTGTATACAATGCAACAACAAATCCTTTTAGAGAGACCAAAATACATCTTCAGAATCACCTGTCACATCACCATGGCCATAATTTAGTGTGGCTAAACTCAGGTCTGCCTCAACAGTGGCAGGCCCTGGATCACGAGTGTAAAGAGAGGCCCATAAGCCATAAAGGTAAATACTTACAAGTTGTATAGCATGCTAATATGCAGTTAAAACGTTTTATCTTTGCCTTTCATAACTGTTTATATCAACTTGTAAGGAAAGGTTCAACTCCTTGATTTTTGTGGCAGAAACAGGGCTGTATGGATTGAGCCAGGCCCTGGTCTTCGGGCTTCTGGACTAGTATCTTTCAGGGATGTTTGGTTGCAGAACTTTAGGACTCTGCATGTTGAAGATGTGTAGCAGGAACTAACTCCCTTTGGTTCTATGAATGTCTTGCCTCATCCGGGGATGCAGCACTGAGGAGAGCCACAGTGGTCCTTGAAAATGGGGGTCATGGAAAGGCTCCGATCTAGCACAAATGGAGCCTGGAATAATCCACAGACTTTCTGCCAAAGACATACTCCACAGCTTCTTTAAATTCAGTAAAGACCAGCCATTTGGTTTTAAACGGGAAGTGAGCTATCTTCCCTAGGACCAATAGGTATGAGGAAGCTGAAGGTGACCCTAGGCATTGTCTCAACCATGGGATAAGCCTAATGAGAGAATACAAAGCCCTTCTCATCCCTCTGTTTCCCAACTGATGCCACTCTGCACATCTTCCCCAGAGGCTAAGGAGGCCATTGGCTTCTCAGAACTCAGATCTACTTCAGAGAGCTCAAGTGAAGATTCAAAATCTTCAAAGTTTTTTTCAGGGTGAAACAGTGATTTAATTCTGCCCCCTGAGATGCTGCTGCTGTCAGTCAGGATGTCTGCTTAGCACCTACTGGAATGAGTCACAGAGTTGGATGATTTGTCTATTTGCCAAGCTGTTACAGCTTGGCAAACCATGGAGCAGACATTAAAATAAACATAGGTCGAATCACCTTCTCTCTAGAACCACAAGAATCACTGCTTTCGTATGATTATAGAACTGAGGATCCCACTTTTATCTTAGTTGTCTCTGCAGATGCTGTTTACTTGTATGCAGCTATTTACCCTTAGAAACCTGGGAGTCTGCCTTGACTCCCCTACTCTCCAAGGAACACACCGAGACCTGCCATTGCCCTCTAACCCAAAGGCTCTCTGCTCTCTGTCTCTGTCTCTGATCAAGGACAGTTACCATCTCCATGGCTTGGGTCACAATCTGGCCTCCTCACTTCTACCCTTAAACAGCAGCTTTCCCTTTGTGGAGTGCATTCTAAGACTCCCAGTAGATGCCTAAAACTCTAATAGTACAAACCCAACTTATATGCTGTGTTTCCCTACACACACATACATACGATAAAGTTTAAATTACAAACAAGAGATCACCCATAATTGTGTATTCACTAATAAAACAGAATTATAACAATATACACTATAATAAAAGTTGCTTATACATTATGAATTGCCTATTTCCTAAATTTTCAGTTTAATATTTATGGATCTTGACTGCCACTGGCGACTGAAATCACAAAAAATTTAAAGTATGGATAAATGAGACCACTGAGATCCATTTCCATAAACTCATTTCTGATTCTCTCTGAATAAACCCAGACTGCTTGCTGGTGCCCACTTTCCTGACTGATTTCCTCTTGGGCCCCCTTCTCCTCTTTTGGCCTCTGGCCTCCTTGGCATCCTCAATCACCTAAGTGTCTCTCCCTTGGTCTCTTTGCCAGTCCCTTGGTTCCCAGACCTGCCTGCCAAGGTTTCTTCCTTTTCAATCCCTAGCTGTCACTGGAGAGGCTCACTTCTCTGAAGACTTCATCTGGGAGCCCTGAGAAGTCAACTTCATCTCCCCCATGTTCACTGTTGCTGCCCTTCTCCAGTCCTTCAAAAAGCACATTTCACGAAAATTACACATTCGTTAGATCTGCCTAACTCTAAATTCAGTGAGAGTAGAGACCTTGCCTTTCCTGGCCATCATCAATATACACCCACAGAACCTGACCTGGGGCAGGTACTCAATGGAAATGTAGAGTGGAAAAATCTGTACCTAACAGCCCTTGAAAGGACTTTAATTTAGAATCTACATTCTGTTTAAAGAGAGGTTTTAGAGCTCCAGAATGATCTTGGGGTCCCCAAGCCTTTCCTCTGTAAACTATAGTCATCTGGGGAACCCCTTCCTCTAAGAAGCTAGGGTTGGTAGCAGGATACCAGAAGTGCAGCTGGATGGAGTTAAATTCAAGAAGCCTCAGGCCTTGGCCAGCAGCTTAGGATGCACACACAAGACAGGCAGTCTTGGAGTCAGGGCCCATGGAAGCTGCTTATTTACAGGTGTTGGAGGACCAGATCCTCCAGAGCGACTAAGGACTGACAAGACAGTGGCAGAGGATACAGTGATGTACCAGCAACTGTGAATGATGAGACTGTGCTCTTGGTCCCTTGAAAACAAAGTGATGAGTTCTGGCTTGGCTTAATCTATTTACAGCTATTCAGGGTGGCAGCTGGCAGCCTGGTAGTTGTGGGAGTACCAGGTAGTCTTGCAGGAGGGCAGCTTCTTTGGCATATGATCAGGGTCTGGAAAGCTGAACCCTGACTCAATGGGTCTTGGCTTCCACTCAGTTTGGGCACAACTCGGGGAGAAGACGTGAGCTCTACCTGTGGCTTCAGTTACCCTGAGACAGCACCTCTATCTTCCATTTTTCCTGACCAGACAGGGGCTTCACAGCCCACAGCTCCTGCCCCAAATTCTTATCCTGGGTCATGTTTCTATAGATATTTGGAAAGGATAACAGGGAAACAGAACCTTTCTTATCTACTGAACTTCTCCCATCTGCAGAAGTGTTTGCCTGAATCACTTCCATTCCTTGTTGGGAGTAGAGGCAACCACTACATCCTAGTTCCCCATAAAACTCTCACCATACATGAGCATCTAGGATAAGGAGGTCACCCTGCTTTCACTCAGGGATTCACATGTCAAACACAGTTAGATACTTTGTGGTTGTGTTGTGAGGAGGAACATATTTTTAATTTTTTAAAGTAAATACACCACCGGATGTTTATTTATAAAATCCCAAAGATTTTCAACACCAAAAGATACAACTGTTTTGTAAAAGGAATTTTTAAGGGAAAAAAATAACCCTCATTTCGTGACAAAGAAAGTCCTAGCGCATCTGAATGTTGTGCAAGATGGATGTTTTAGTGTCCCAGAGCCTGACATTCCTCAATAGGTAGGATGCTGATGACTCGGCATTTTGGTAATTGTGTACACACACTCGGAGGCTTCAGAGCAAGGGAAATGGAAATGGAAATGCTTTTAATAAAAAAAGAGAAGAAATCAGTAACAGACGAGTGTCCCAGCAGCATGGCAAACTAGTTCAAGTTGTCTAATTCCCCTTGGCATTTCCTAAGAGCACGGAGGCACAGCTTGGGGGAATGAAGGGACGTGGAAAATCCTAAGTGCAGTGCAAGGAGGTCTGAAAGCAGCAGATCAAACAGCAGTACGCAATACTGCTGACCACAGGGACACCAGCAGGAGGTGGGCCAAGCGGCCAGCATGCCTTTGGCCTGCTTTTGGTATTATACCATACCATGGAGCTGGCTCTGGGGTGAGTGGGTGGAAGGGAGCACCATTTTCTACTCAGCATCACTAACTGCTCTTCCAGACCTCCGTCCTGCAGTGTGGTCATCCTGCAAGAACTGTCTGTCTTGGCTAGCAGTTTAGAGTGACTGAGGTTGGGTGGAGAAGATAATGCGGTGAAGCTGGGGGAGGTGGAGGAAGGCACGGAAGAAGATTTTACACAGTAACTGATGCTGGCCCGAATCCCCTGCATCCTGTACTACTATACAGGAGCCTTGAAGACTGCAGCAGTTCTGGACTGTTGCTTCACTGGTACCCACCTTTATCTAGGGAGCCTTCACAACCCTATTCAGGGATCAAAACTCAAAATTCACAAGTAGGATGTTTGACCCCCCCCCCCCTTGGGAGCATGAAGATTTGGGGAGCAGAAGGGCTCTGTGCCTCCCTGTCTACATCTTTTGGATCATCAGAGGGTTGAGGGGGAACAGCTTCCTTTGGCCATGGTTACTACCACAGACCATCTGTGTTCCCCAAATTGGATGGGGGTGAGGTTTAATTACATAGGCTTATAGGAGTACAAACTAAGATTATTAAAATTCATCATTCTTTGGTAGTTTAACATCAGACAACCAAATGCCAAGAGCCAGCCCTCCATCAAGCCCCATGTGAACTCTGCAAGTCAGCCCCAGTTACGATCCCAGATGAACTTGCTCACGTTTCAAGGAGTTTTAATGGTTCCCAAATGTTTACTACACAAGAGCCAACCCCAAGGAATATTTCCACTTGCCACATTGTACAAAGCTGAAAGATTATTTTTAGGGACTCTTTGTATATTCTGGGAGAAAACGCCATCATCTTTGATCTCAAAGCACATTATGGATAGACAATCGAAGCCTCAGTTGTGATGTCTCTCCTTTCTCTGTGTTCTTGTGGATTTGGGAGGATTGCCATGGGAAAGTCAATATTATCTGCACCAGGAGAAGAATGAAGGGATGAATTTGGTGGGAGGGAATGATAACTGCAGGGGGGCCAATGAGAAGTTTCATTTTTAAACAAAAGCACCTGCAAAGCTAGCTAATTGCACTGTACTCTGGAGGTGATCCATGGACCACTAAGCTCTCTTTACTCCAAACTCAAAGAAAGGCCCTAAGGATAATGATTTGCAATCACATGCTCAATATTTTTGAAATATTTGGTACAAGGACTCTTGGACTCAGTCCAACGTGAGCACCATATTCATTAGCATGGCGCATGCAAACTCACTGAAGCCCTCTAGGGGGTGCCAAATGCCTACATGGAGAAACGCAGTAACTGTCCCAGGCAAGAGAAAGCAGACCTAGGGACCTGGATCCTCATCCCTCTACCTACACTACACCTACAAGACTGACCACATGGTGTAATTTCTGTGACTCCGTTTCCCTATAATAATTCCTACCCATCTCCCAAAGTGGCTGTGAGGAGTAAGAGAAAATGATTTCTTCTTAGAAATTTCTTAACTTTTAAATTTTACTTTTATGTGTACAAGTGTTTTGCCTGCATGTATATATGTGCACAATATAGAATGCCTGGTACCCATGGAGGTCAAAAGAGGGCACTGGATCCCCCGTAACTAGGGTTACAGAGGGTTTTGAGCTGCCATGTGGGTATTGGGAACTCAGTCTGGTCCTCTATAAGAGCAGTAAGTGCTCTTAACTTTTGGCCTCTCTTTACAGTACTCTGATTTCTTTTTAAACTTGCTAATTTCTAGGGTTTATCTTTTTCCCTATGCAATACAGGTGAAGGTTTACTTCATATATATATGTATATATATATATATAAGTTTATATTTCTGGAGCAGAAATCAAGACTGGGAGTAGAAGGAACCCAAGACTTCTTGCCAAAAAACCCCTAGGCTTGCCACAAAACTACCAGACTTCTTTGCTAAAATGGGACAGAAACAAGGTGACAGAGGTAATGTTGTAGTGTAGGGTCCTGAGAATGTCACCCAGTTATCATGGAGGCCAGTGGTTGTCTAGAGACAGAGACCAGCAACAAGAATGGAGGAAAGAGCAGAGGCAGAAGGTGCTGGCTACTTGCTTTCTCTTGCTGCATCTGTGACTGGTCCACCCTGCAGAGCTGAACCAAGCCTGGAAAAGGAGGGCCTTGTTCTCAACTCATTTACTGATGGTTTCCTGAGGGACTGATTATCCATAGTCATGGAGAATGGGGAGAAGGTTGAAAGAACTCTCTGGGGCACACATCAGCCAGAGTAGAATTCTCTACCTCTGGTGGGAGAAGAGCCACACAGTGAGTCTGTTTATTCTCTGACACTGGGTTACATGAAGTTTTTCATAATAAATATCTGTGAACTACCACTATAATTTATGTTGGAAAATTACAACTAGCTGGGTTGTCTGGCTATTGAGGGTTAATTAAAAAAAATATGCCTGCTTTGATTCTTCTGGTTTAAAATCTTGTAAAAATATGCACATACCACCCCCTTTCTGCAGCACATTCACAATGCACTCTTGGCATTCTCCAAGATTTGAAGGTCCATGATGTGGTCATTTCTAATTTTGCTGGCATGTGGGGTTAGACCACGTAGCTGGTGTGGATACCAGATTGGCATCTCACAGTGACTGTTCTAGCCTGTAGCCATTGGGAAGGCATGAACTCTCACAAAGGAAGAAGAGCTTTATTTCTTAGTGGAAAATTACCATCCACGGAGAGAGAAAACTTTGGTGAAATTTGAGAAGGTGGTTAACTTGTCTTGAACAGATAAACATGGGAACCAGATGGTTTTGGATGGGAAAATGTGATTTGGGAGAGAAGTTAAAATAACTTATGTTTGAAGTTATGAATATGGGGTCTGAGGTCTCAGGGCATGGTCTTTCCAATGTAGAAGGTCAACTGACCAGACATAACTGGGTTTAGGATCACAGAGGATAGGGTGGGTATGGGTGGGGAGACATAGATGAAGAAACCACAGGGAACTGGACTTTTTAGCAGCAGGAAATTTTAACTAATAAATTCCTGCTTTGGTCCTCACTCATGGTATATCAACCTCTAAAGATAGAAACAACATAAAAACAGCTATTTAATTATTCAGATTTACTGTATTCAACTCAGTTATTGGGCTACTGAGCACTCTAGTAGGCTTTACTTGATTAAGAAGAAAACAATCAAATGTATTTCATTGACCTGAGGAGTTAAATTTAACAAAAAGCTACGTGGGCATGTTTACATACAGTGGCGTTTGTATGAGCAGAACCACAGGAATGCAACAACCATTCAGGAGATTGCTAGGACGAGGGTGATGGGTTGGTAGCTAACTACATCAGTGAAAAAGAGGTGGCAGGAATGTAGGGCAGGGTTTCATTATTTCCTCCTACTTTTCTCCTTCTGTGCTTTTCATCCCTCCATTCTGCAGAGTCAAATTATGTGGCAGAACTCACACGACTCCTCACCTCAACCGTTATTGCGTGTGTATACACGATATATCCTGGCAGGAGAATCCCTAACTGATGCTGCTGAACCAGCTCACTATGCAGACGAGTATTACTTGTGCGATGCACTATGGCTCAGTCATTGGAGTGCCTGTGGGTGGAGACCAGTTCTCACGCAGGACAGCGAGGGCGATCAGAGGCCTCCTGCTAACCCAGCTGGATCTACAGAGACCCGAGATACTCATGCATGTTTACCTGGGGAGCCCGCCAGAGAGTCCCCTCTGCTGAAGGTGAAGGTACGAGACACAGAGACGGGCACTAAAGAGTCGGGGGCCAAGGATATGTGAGTAGCAAAGGAGAAGATAAACACAAAAGAAGAGAGACAAAGAGCAAAATGGGTGAGACAGTCTGTTCCTGGTTCTTCACAATATCACATTCTTGGCAAAAAAATAACCCTTGCTTCAGAAAGCACAGGAATTGTGTGTTTATGAAGTCACTCTCCAGAGAGACAAAATAAAATGAACTTCACCGAAGTTCTCCTGAAAGGATAGGCAATAATCTCAGTGGGAATCACAGATGCCAGTCAGTGCCCTTGGAGGGAGCACATAAGCAGCTTTCTCTCTGAGGTGCCCACCTCAAGTTAGCAAATCTGCTAGAGCCCAGCACTGTCCCATGCCCTCCGCTCTCTCCCAGTTGTCTCAGATAGCCTCCTCATACAGGAGAGCCTTTGGGTAGACATTCAGAGGCCAGGAAGCCAGGTGCATGCTCCTGTGAGGGCATCTGCTAGGAGGCTGGTTCCTGCCTGGGCTACCAGGTGATGGATGCTCTACTATGGCACAGTGCTGGTGAGGAGCTGTGCATGGCTAGAGGCTTCGGGCAAAGGCAGGGCAGGTTTCTAGTTCAATTGTGAGTCAATTTTATGAATCAAACCACAGTTACTTTCTAGAAATCACAAGTGTTCCAACGTACTTTTCTTTTCTTCTCTTTTCTCTCCCCCTTTCTCTTTCTCTAGAGTCAGAAATGGTGGCGGCCATCACTCAGATTGTGCAGGACTCCAGTTCTTTCCTCATGTTAATCCTGATGCACTGCTCTACATAGGATGTCTGTCCGTCTTAGCTGACCGTTCTCAGTATCCCCTCCCAGGACCCAAGTGAAACTGATCTGTCGGCTGAACCAGTGAAATAGGCGTCTTTCTCTTCTGTATCACAGATTCGATCAAAATTACTTATCCATGCAGGCAAAAAGGAGGGTTTTTTGTTTGTTTTTGTTTTGTTTTGAACCTATCTGCTAACCATTAGTTCTGCCATAGGATGTTAGTGAGTGTTTGAACCGGCCTCTGTTCTGAGACACACTGGAGTAAGAGTCCCCAGTCTCCAGTTCTTCCTAAATTAAATGTCGACTCTACTAAGCAGATCTCAGGCTTGTTCTCCCTACTGCAAACCGCTGTACGCTCCTGTTCTACCTGAGCTCATGTGAGGCTCCACTAGAAACCCAGGCTCCCTCATCATGGACTCCTGGATTCCTGGCAAATCAAAATCAAGATAAAGAATAGAGTGTGACCTGGGCACAGTGGCATGCCTTTAACTCCAGCATTCAGGAGACAAAGATACACAGATCTTTGTGCGTTTTGGTCTACATAGCAAGTTCTAGGCTAGTCAGGCTACATAATGAGACCCTGTCTCAAAAAGGGGTGGTGGTGGATAGAGTGTGGATTGTGCTCCCCGTTCCACATTCAGGAACATCTGGGAGAATTCTTTGTAACATCAAGTTCAACCCTGAGGCACAGGTCACAGGTGTCCCCACAAATGCACCCTCAACTTCATGACTGAGTACACTGCAGCCTGCTAGATCAAAGCCCTACAAGAGTTTACTGCTCTCTGGTTTAGACTCAAGCTCCACTGCCAACTATACGCTGACGTTCTTGGCTAGTAAAGGGGAGCTGGAGTCGTGTGGTGGCGCATGCCTTTAATCCCAGCACCCGGGAGGCAGAGGCAGGCAGATCTCTGTGAGTTCGAGGCCGGCCTGGGCTACAGAGTGAGTTCCAGGATATGCGCAGAGCTACACAGAGAAACTCTGTCTCGAAAAACCAAAAGAAAAAAAAAAAAGGTGGAGCTGGGTGCCTCTGAACCTTGACTTCACCACCACTTAGGGAACAACCGTGGGGTCCAGGGGAACTTTGCAGTTGCTCCACACTTCACTCAGGAGGAAGAATTTGATGGAGGATGGACAACATCTCTTTCCCACTACTGGCCAATGATATTTATGTTTCCTGAACATGTATAAAGGTTCAGAAGCATGGGAAAGGAAAGAGAATTTAATGCTTTCTTTAAATTGAATACAAAGTATAATGACTCATGGATATGAAGAGGCCATAATAACCCATTACTTTATGCGTTAACTTAAAAAATGAATAAAATATGAAGAAAAAAGACAACTATTACCAGCTTACTCTTTTTTCACTGATAAAATTGAAGGCTTGCCGGGCGGTGGTGGCGCACACCTTTAGTCCCAGCACTCCGGAGGCAGAGCCAGGCGGATCTCAGGTGAGTTCGAGGCCAGCTTGGTCTACAGAGCGAGTTCTAGGAAAGGAGCAAAGCTACACAGACAAATCCTGTCTCAAAAAACCAAAAAATTAAAAAAATAAAAATAAAAAAAATTGAAGGCTTTTTGAGAGAACTAGAATCAGAGGAAGCCAGATAACATCTTCTTACTTGAAACTGTTTTTATATTTATTGATTTGTGTGTATGCGTAGTGGGTGGGTGGGTGGGTGTGTCACAGCATGTGGGTGAAAGTCAGTGATCTCCTTTTCCAATGAGGACTCCAGGGACCAAACTCAGCCATCAGACTCAGCAGCAAGCGTCCCTCCCTGCTGAGCCATCTTGTTGGCCCTCTTTAAAGAAAGTCATATGAAGTGGAGGGATGCGTGGGAAGACTTCTGAAGCTCTCTTTTTCTTTTCTCACAGCTCCTTTTAAGAGCTAGAACAGAGTCAGCATTTCTATGCAGCATCTTAGAGTGCTAGGAGCAGCACTCTAAGGGTGATGCCTGGGCACCTCCTTGTGAGAATGAAGGGTTCCCTGGTCCTGGAAACTGTCTCTCATTTGTTCAACTCTCTATACGGAGTACTGGTGCCTCTTTTATCAACCTTGCTTGACAGTCATTGGCTGACATAAATACCATACCATATCACTTCCTTCCTTTCTTTTCTTTTTCTTTCCTTAACAGATCTCCTTACTCAAGTTCTACATATCCCTGTGGGTAGAACAGATACTTAAGAGTTCATTTCAGCCATCTGGTGGGCTAGGAAGTAAAACGACATGGTAAATTACTCTATCATTTCCATATAGCTATTGCATTCTCAAACATGGACCTAAAAATCTCTTTATTGTGCTGTGAGAACTAGTCATGACACAGGAGTGGCCCTATCTAGGTAAATCATCAACTGGCTGGATGATATGGAACATGTTGTTTCTTTATCTTTTCTTATTAAAAATTTAATTAATACTCTGTTTATTTATCTATTTTTGTGGTGCTGAAATTTGAACTCAGGGCATTGCCCATGCTAGACAACTACTTGACCACTGCTCTATATGGCCAGCCCCGTTTTCTCATTCTGAAGTGACATCTACCTTGCTCTGTTCTTGGGATAGCAAGCTCCAAAGTCCTCTGATAAATTCCAGTATAAGACACTATGTCAAGTATTTTCTATGATGACAGGAAATATCCCATTTGCTATGAAAGTGGCCATCGCAGTGCAAAATTTAACTAATGAATCTAAAGGAAATCTAGAGAAAATTCTTTCTGGATCACGTTTACATCACAATGGAAGCCATGCCTTCTACACACAAACAAACTCTGTACAGCAAGAAGGTACAGCACAGAAGGGCAGATCAAGCCAACCATCAGCCCTGTGCCAGCCCCCACCCCAGGCAGCATGCACGGCCAGCTGGCAGCCACCTCCTCACCAACAGAGAGAGGTTGTGAGCAAGGAAAGAGCAGCAGCTAAGTAGCAGATTGCACCAGCCTTGATTTACAACACTGAATGTCACAGTCACTTTTCCCTGAGGACAAACAGCACAGACAAAATCATAGCACTCCAGGTAAAGGGCAGGGGTGAATTATCACTGCGGCGAAAGGAAGGCCGAACCCATACCAGAGCACACAGGTCAACTGCCTGCACTCCCCAGCAGGTGGCAACTCATGGTGCCCCCAGCCACACCACACACCTACCCTCCTCTACTTACATTCGTCACTTGTGTGTGAACAGAGAAGCTACCACACACATTTCAGACACACAAAACTTAAGCCTCCGTGCTCTGTGGGTACCTGGTGGGAGGCAATGTTCCTGGCAGAGCATTATACAGAGGCTGCCAGAATTTTGTGTTAGCCCATGTTCAAATAGCTTGGTTCAGGTTCCCAAAGTGGGCTGAGGCAGAGCCATGATGGGGAAGGTGAGGAAGGGGTTTGAGAGATACATACGAAAGACAGAGGATCCAGCCAGACTTCCAACCTTCCTCACGTCATTATCTAAGGACAGAAGGATGCAGTGGGTTTCAGAAGTAATTCAGAAAACATAACTTCTTATGGAAATCTCCACTTCCACTCCACCCCAGCACCAATTAACCCTGCAGAAATCAGGCAATCAAACAGGAGGGTAAGGAAGAGGGGTAAAAAGTGCAACGACTTATCTTTTCATACTGAAGAATACATTCTCCATCACAAACACTTGCTATGTGATTGCTTTTCCCCCCTCCCAACTCAATTTTCTTCCTCTTATTTTTAAAGCTAAACAAAATCTGAATGGAGAGTTATATTTATGTCCCTTTGGCCTGAAGGCAACCAGAGCCAAGGAAGTTAAACAGCTTACTTGGAGGGTCTTTAACAGGAATCATGTTAAAGGAGAGTCATGAATTAAGCCTAGGTTTTTCTTGCTGATCTCATTGCTTTCCCTGGTAAACTCCGGCTCGGGAACTGGAATACCTGAGCAAGCTGTGGTCATGATGGCTGGAACACCGTAGTAGGTAAAGGCTCCGTTCTCAAAGCGAAGGCCTTCCTTACCAACCTCCACTTCCACTTTACCCTGGAGAAAGAAGGAGGGTAAGGAGTGTTCTGAGGCTGTGTGATGAGCACTTGCAGGTCTTGTATCCACTCAAACACAATGTGCTTCTCTGTGTATGACAAGCAGATTCGTATTATCACAGGGCTGTGTTAATTCTGCCCTGATTTACAGTACAGAAACAGAACCTCCCACTTGAGAAGCCCTTTGTAGTGAATTCACTGCTTCATCAATCCTGGAGTAGCACCGAGTCATGAATAACCAAGCTTTCCAGACACACAGGTCTAAAGCACCAGCTAAACCAGAGCCCTGTGAACAGCTTCAGTGACTTACTCTCAGATGAGACCATTTCCAAGTCTGGATGAGATAGAATCTGATCTTGTTGAACTCATCGTCGTCGGTGACAGTGATAATCAATACGAGAGTGTATAGCTCCATCTACACATCCGATACTGTTATGTGTATCTTGTGGATGCTCACTGTCAGCCCCAAGCTCCACCGAGTATGTAACGTTTTTATGTCCAGTTGACAGATGCATTGATTCAGGCTCAGAGAGGCCAACTTGGCTTAGCCAAGGTTTGTTAGTAAATGGAAACAATGAAATTTTAAAGGCAAATCTTTCTAACTCCTGAGTCTACCTTCTTTCTACCACGTTTTATCCCCTTCAGCTCTGTTTGAAAACTTTTTGTTAAGCATAAGATGAAAGGCTGCATGTGTCCTTGCATTATATAAACAATGTAACAGGATCCATCTCAATTTCTAACAGTGAAGAAAGTGACCCCATTTTTGGGGGGCAGGGGAAAAACAATCATTTTATTGAAGTTATTTGAGATGATCTATATGAGACAAATCACAGTGTCTAGAAGGACAGGCTGAAGTGGACTGTAACAAACAGAGGCTATTTCTAACTTAGTGTGATCTTTACTGAGATCTTAAACCCATCACTCTGCTGGGAAGAGACACAGAGCCAGTGACAGAGCTCACGGTAGAGGCTGGGACAGGGCACAGCTGTGCTCCGGGGAACCATGCCGGACAGTTACTTCTATTTAATTACTTAACTAATTTTGAGATGGAATCTTGCCAAGTGGCTCTGCATACCCCAAACCCAGTATGTAGATCAGATTGTCCTAAAACTCACAGCTATCCTCCTGCCTCTGCTTCTTGAGTGCTGGGATTACAGACATGTGAAACCATGCCCAGCTTTGATACCTACTTAAGACAGGCCTGTTCAGATATCCAGGGCAGGTAAGTATCTTTATGAAAGTCCTGGGGAGGTGATGATTTCTTTCACTCAGTCACTGTCTCCTGTCCTGGTCCTCTTTAGAGAGAGATGTTTCAGGGAACCACAAGGAATGAAGTGTGGCACAGTGAATGAATGTGTTCCACGTGCTCCAGGAGGCAGAGCAAGGACCAGCATGGATGCCAGAGATGCTGAGATTCAGCTCAACAGAAGAGAGGTTTTAGCAAGAATCATCTACATCCCAGGTGGCCGTGGGGGATACCCAAGTAGATACCCAGAAGTATCAGGATTCCACAGGGCCCTTCCCATTCAAAGCAGAATGCCTTTACTGAACATACACACTTCGCACTGTCCCACAAACATGCTTGAGTGCTCAGGTGAAAGACCATCAGAGAAACTACAGCTCCCAGGATACCACTCTTCCATGCCCGTGGCTTTCCTGTGTGCAATGCAGGATGCCTACCCCGCTGGCCTTGTTCTCTAGGCATCTGGCACTGATGGACACCCACGGCCACTCCCCTTCACCCGGCAGATGCCATCCTCTTGCCGTTGGAAGTTCCCTGACCTTGCCACTCACCTGTAAAAGCAGCACAAAATAGTCCACGGGGCGGCTGCGCTGGTAGAGGTAATGTTCGGGGGCTTTCTTGTTTCTCTCATCAAACTTCAGCTCCTGGATCACGTTGGGGTGTTTCAGTAGCCGGAGCAGGATCTTCTCCGAAAGGTATAGAGACTTGAAGGGTTCCACTTCTAGAAGGCGGCAGGGGGTGGTGGTGATGACCGCAGACATCAGCACTTGTCTACCTCCCCCATCCCAGCAGAAAAGCTGGGAGGAGGCAAGCGCAGCGACGGGGTTTCCTCTAGAACAAGCCCCCTAAGTAGGTCGGGGGTTCTGCAGATCCCTTGGATTGAGGGGGTTTAGTCCCGTGTGTGCATCCTGGAGCCTTCCCTACCTATGCCTTCTGGGGATGACTGTGGCTTCACTGGCATCTCAGGAAAACCAGGTCACCATGTGGGAAATGCCAGTTTTGCTCTGAATTTCCCCCTTGTTTTTATTTAGAGTTGGACCTGGACAACTAAATCGTGGACACAACAAGGTCTTTCATTTTACAGTAGAGCAACACACAGGGAATTGAGTCTGGCTTATTTGGATAACATTCACCTGCTGGATGAAATGAAATCCCAAGTTCATGGAGACAGGTAATTACTTAAGTTGTCAATAATGTAAAATATCATCTATCATACTTAACTATTAATAGATATTATATATTGATACTTGCAGTATAATACTAAGCAGGCAAAGCTGCTTTGCTTTGGGAAATTGGTCTGTGATTAAAAGAAATTTCTATTCAGAACAAGATTATATGTTGAGAACGCTTCTGTAAGGAGGCTCTACTTTATAGTGGTCCACTTTTCAGCACCTGGAACAGTGCTAGCTAGCACTTACTATATCCTCAATAAATATATATTATATTAGCTAAAAATGGAACTTAGTGATGGATTGATCATTCTAGGTCAGCATATTAATTCGGGCTGAATGAACTCAGAGAGTTCAAAGGCAATGCTATCCTCTTCACAAAAAGGAGCTCGATCCTTCACCTGCTTTTCTTTCCAAAGGTACCAGGAGTTTTCTATTTTATAAACTCAGAGTTCACAGGCCTAAATGACTCCTGGAGGGGGTTTGTTTCTCGGTAGGATAATACTTTTCCCTCTGGGACAAACGTTCTGAGGTACCCAGATCTCAGCAGGATGGAGGTTAGCCTCAGGCTCCAGCTAGGAAGTAAGCAGAGGAAATGGAGGCACCACAGTGGCTGCCTTAGCTCTTTTCTGGTGCAAAGGAGAACACTCACTTCCTCTCACCAACACAGCCAGGGAGCCTGGAGCTTGCCATGCCACATCGCAGGAGGCAGCCTTCCTCCTCAAACAGTGGGGCACATAGGAATGGGGATGGAGGATACTAAAATATGTGGTGCCTGGTGCTCCTCTAGATTCCACTAGAAGTGCTAGGGTAGGACTGGGAGGGGCAGGTCCTACCTGTGGCCATGAAGCGGTGTGTGGCGAGCAGCAGCTGTGGCGAGATCTTCACTCTGATCTCCGAGTCTGAAAGCTTGAACAGAGAGAAGTCATGGCGCCTCCTCTCCCGGTGCGGGACCCTCTGCTTTTTCCGGTTGTCAGCTATAGGGTCACAGGAGAAAGAGGACACTCAGAATCCTTGTTTGTCTTTGGAGGTTTACACAGATCCTTTGGGACCCCACACATTCCGCAGTGCCAACTGTGGGAGGCACGACCAACTCTCTCCCAGTGGGAGACGGCGGGCAGCAGATGGTTCGCTCTTGTTTGCGCTTAGGTAGTAGACGAAAAAAGCTGCCGAGGGGTTTCTAAGCCCAGAGTTCTAGGGCTGGTTCCCTGACCTGATAGCTGTGCAGACTCTCCATGCAGCAACGTTTTGGATTGTATTAATCCATACAAGAGAGCTTATGATATTGAGTAGCTTTTCCACCGATGCAGTTATTGCAAGACCTCAATCGGCAACAAGGCCGCGTTTATACAAAGTCACGCAAACATGAATTGCTGGTGTTCTCGGCATTAAGGGGTTTGGGGCTTCTCCCCCTGTCCTCTTCCATTCCTCAGAGCTGGGCTCACACAGTCCCTTTCCTGTGGGCTTAAGCCATGCTGTGAATGGTACCTAAGGTATGTTACTCTGTTACGACTCATAATTCTCCTGCTTCTCCCCAGACTCTTTGGAGAAACAAACATGGGAAATGAAAGGGAAAGGAGTAAGAATGCATATACACTTTCTAAAAGCAGGTTCTTCAGATGAGGACTCAGGCAGCACCTAGAGCCTCAGAGCCTGTACACTGGGAATGTGCCTAGTCACTGAGAAACTTACTTTCTCCCATTTATTTTTAACCAGCTTTTTAGAAGGAAAAGCCAACATATGTATACACATATAGAGACACATGTTTATGTACATAGATGCATACATATGGGTAACATATACATAGATTTTTTTTATTTTTAACTTGCTTTTCAGAAGGAAAAGCCTACATATGCATATACATGTAGAGACACACATTTATGTACATATATACATGCATATGTATACACATATACATAGAATTTTTATAGGTAGAGGAAGTGTTAACTTTCACCACTTCTCTTTTGCTTTCCATGAGTGTTGGAAAAAACCCTCAGTGTTGAAAGTGCTAACACCTCCCACCCCCACCCCACATCTGCACGGAGGGGGAAAGTGATGTGTCTCTGCTCTTAAACTTGGCCTGGAACACAACAGGTCTGCAGGGGGCTTGTAGTACAAGTGGACCAGGTCCACTGGGAACCAGTGGACTGTGTCCTCACAGCAGGAAACCAGGTCCCCAGAACGCAGCTCCCTTGTCTCCTGCTCTTGCTTTCTTCTTTTGGAGCTGGTTTCTCTCCGGCCTTTGGGTTGTCTCCTGTCTACACAGCTCTCTGCCTTGGACTCTCAGCCTTTGCAGGCACCTGGCTCCTGCTTCAATACTACTTCTGCTCTGTTTGAGAAGGTGGGGAGATCCCAACCCAGGTGTCTGGACTGTGTAAGAAGTCACAGTCACATAAGAGGAAACACAGTGCTCTGGACTCCTCTGCCTTTTTGTGGCTCTTAGGGAATCATGCTACTTTACCGGGATGGGAACCCCTGGACCTTTCCTCTAGAAAGGGCCTCATCCAGAAAATGAGCATTGAGTAGAGATTTAGGACCCATTTTCTGTGCTCTCACTAGCGAGCAGCATCTGATTTATGACGTATTTGCTTATGTGTCTGTTAGCATGTCATTAACCTTTCCCAGTAGAGATATTCCTACGATCTCTGCCTTTATTACTTTGATTTTAACAGTGGGTGTTTGAGGCATTAGGGTTCTTTAAATCCATACCCCAGGAAGAGAGTATTCGTTTGGCCCGCCACTAGCTACTGATACTTTATGGTAAAGGTCTTCATCATTTTACTTTCAGATACCTGGGAATTCTAGAGCGAGAGTGGTGAGCAAAGAGAAAGGAGGGAGCCTGGAATGGAGAGATCCTTTCTGAGCTCCGCCTTGTTTGAAAATGCTCACTACAGCATTCCCAGGTCCCTGAAGGGGGCGTGCTGTGACACTCAGCTTATTTTTGTTAAGGGCTGGCCCATGTTTTGTATTTGATCTTTTCTTGGCACAAAGGTTTCACTGCCATATGGTATGGAAGCTTTTCGCTGTGAGGAACCAGTTTCTGGAAGACTGCTCTGGCAAACTGAGGCTGCTCATCTCAAATGAGTTATCCCTAGGAAGGGTAGGGGATGGCTACCTTAGGAAATGAAACTCTGAGGAGAAAACATTTCCTGGCCAGAGACTCCCATGGATTTAGATAACATTCCAATTCCATAGACAAAGCAGGCCCTTGTATTGCTGGCAAGCAAAGCTTTGATAAGGTTTCATGGGCATAAAACTGTCACTCTTTGCAAAGAGAAGTCCATATTGTTCCTGATTGGGGCAGGGAGAAGAAGAGCCCAGAGACAGAAACAGGAATAGGAGCCACACAGGAACCTGATCCAGGGTCAGGAAGGAGAATGGGAAACTTGAGGAGCTGTTAAAAGGCACGAGGGCCAAGAACAGTATCCGACAAGGAGCATTTAAGTTTTTGGCTTTACAAAGGGCAATGCCATGACAGTCTTCATTGCTCACTGGTGGTTGGGTCTGAGTGGAGTTCCAAGGGGAGCTGGGCTCTGCCTCACGGTACACAAAGAACCAACACAGGAACTCCTGGGCCTTCTCTTGGACACACTGTATCCCCCTAAGTCTTCTTTTTCCATCTGAAGGATAGGCCATCTTTTCCCAGTCTGACTGTGTTCACAAAAGTTCCCTTCTGATAACATTTTGCCAGCATGTTCTCAGTGACTCAGGATGCTCTGAACCAGGGTATCTTGCCATGCTAGCACTGGGTAGAGGTAGATGGCACACACCAGTGCAAGACTTGCCTTGACACCCTTTCACATTGCCTATCCAACTGATGCACTGCTGGGAGTCTCCCGGGAAAGTTAGCCAAGTCCAGAAAATAGCCAAGGGCACACACTTACTGTAGAGGTCAGTTTCATCTAGGATCTCCGACTTGATGATCTCTTCTATGATGTCCTCCAGTGTGACAATGCCCATCACCTCATAGAAAGGGTCCCCTTCACCTTCATTGTTCACTCTCTGGACAATGGCCAGGTGAGATTTTCCTGGAGAACAAATGAAACCATAATTAAGCATCAGGATCATTTTCAGAGATTGCTGTTGGAGAGAAAAACAATACAAAGTTGCTGTCTGACCAATATCAGGACTGAATTTACCATGTTGGGCGCCAGATGTAGCACGAATTGTTAGGTCTTATTAATAAAAACAAACCCAGGGCCAGGTATTGGAATGAATACTGGAAGATCAGAGAGACAGAACAAGCCACATCTTCACTTTGCCAGTTCCTCAGCTGATTTTGTTTCCTCAGACTGAAAGCCTCTGAGTCCTTACCCAAATGGATCTCAGCTGAACTGCTTCTCAAAAGCCTAAAAGCTTAACCAGGCTTCTAGTTCTTGGTCCTCATGCCTTATATACCTTTCTGCTTCCTGCCATCACTTCCTGGGATTAAAGGCGTGAGTCTCCATGCCTGGCTGTTTCTAGTGTGGCTTTGAACTCAAGAGATCCAGACGAATCTCTGCCTCTGGAATGCTAGGATTAAAGGCGTGTGCTACCACTGCCTAACCTCTATGTTTAATATTATGGCTGTTCTGTTCTCTGATCCCCAGATAAGTTTATTGGGGTGCACAATATATCAACCACAGGCTTGTGACTACTTGAAGCAATATCACTTGGAGGTGTCCTGAGGCTGGGTGATAGAAGGCAACATCTTCTGCTGTAGAAACCCTGTGAGAAGTCTGCTTACTGTCCTGAGGCCACCATGGTGTGAGAAGTCACCTTGAAAGTGGGCGCTACATTCACAGTTAATACGGCCTTTCTGGTCTCCTTTAGCAGTGGCCTGGGCACTGTAAAGCAGAGAGAAGTCATTCCTCTTGTACCCTTTTTAGGGCCTGGTTCATAGAAGCCATTAGCATAATAAACGGGGGTTGTTTTCTACCTGTCTTGAGGGTGTCTTGTTAGCAATAGTGTAACTGGAATAACCAGTGCCCACGAAGTGGCCATGCAGCTGGTGAACATGTAAAAGGTTTTGTCGCCGGGCGGTGGTGGCGCACGCCTTTGATCCCAGCACTCGGGAGGCAGAGCCAGGCGGATCTCTGTGAGTTCAAGGCCAGCCTGGACTACGGAGTGAGTCCCAGGAAAGGCACAAAGCTACACAGAGAAACCCTTTCAAAAAAAAAAAAGTTTTGTAAACTGTAGTGCAGCACAGGCAGATGAATTATTTTGATTATCAACTTGGTTGGATTGAGAGAGAGAGATCTAGGAGGTTACTGAAGCATACTTCTGTGTATATCTATGAAGGCATTTCCAGAAAGGATTAACAGAGGAGGAAGATCCACTCTGAATGCCTGTGGCACCACCAACATGCCTCAGCCCCAATGGGATAGCAGGGAAAAAGGGGAAAGCCTGCATCCACACCATTCTCTCTCTGCTTCCTGGCCTCCATGATGTGAGCTGCTCTTTCTCCCAGCCACCATGCCTCCCTACAGGGACAGGATGAAACCATGAACTAAATAAATCCTTCTTTGTTTATACCAGGAGCCTGTCACAGAGATGAACAGTCTAACATTGCAGGTGTTTTGTTTTTATATTGCCTAACAACTTAACAGCTGCTAACATTTATTGAGCTCTTACTACATGCCAGGCATGATATGGAACACTTGACACATGTCAAATCATTTAATCCTCAAAAGAGCCCCAAGGTGAATAGCAGCATCATACTCATTTTACAAAGAACTGAGGTACAAGTTGGGTTAGTGATAGGCCTCAAGTTGCACAGCCTAAAAGAGGCCGAGCTGGACTGCAGTCCTGACCTGAGGCCTTCCCTTCCCTCTTCTCCTGATAGAATTGGACCTAGGGGTTCACATGTGCTAGGCGAGCACTCTATTGCTGAGCTCTATCCCCAAACCCCATTATTTTGAGGTTAGACATATATTCTTTTTTTTATTATTTAGAATACCTGATACAATGAAAACATGGCGTTATTGAGTACTGAGGGCGTGCTAACAGGAAAATCCATTTGTACACACCCAGTTCGTATGTAATCTCCCTACTCCAACTATTTCTTTGCCCTGCTTCTCCCTCTCCATAATTTCTATTTCCCTTTCCTGTGTCTTCAGTTCTCAAACTGAAAACTGTGAACTGAAAACACAGCGACTATCATTTTGCAACTTTCCTGGCTTGTTTGTTAGGATGAAAACAATGGTGTGCTGTAGCTACTTTCTAAGTTTTGCAGGGGTTGACTTAATCTTAGAAGTTTAGCTCATGCTAAAGAGATGTGTGTAAGAATACTGCATAGTATTTTCCCTGGACATCATCTTCATAGACAAGTCAGAGGCCTATTTTGAATGTAAACTTTTTTGCAGTGTGTGTGTGTGTGTGTGTGTATGTGTGTGTGTGTGTGTGTGTGTGTGTGTGTGTGTGTGTGTGTGTATGTGAGAGAGAGAGAGAGACAGAGACAGAGAGAGGGAGAGAGAGGGAGAGGGAGAGAGACAGTCTTTATGTACTTACTTATCCTCTATCGTTTCCACATCTTGGCTACTTAAACGATGCCGCAATGAACATGGGGGTCAGCTATCTTTTGGAGGTTCAAACTCCATATTTTAAAGAAAAGTTTGTTTTAAGACAAGGTCTTACCAAGTTACCCAGGCTGGTCTTGAACTTATGATGTTCCTGCCTCTGAGAAGCTGGGATTATGGGCCTTTGCCGCTAGGCCTGGCTGAAGTATTTTCTAACAGCCCTCCTTCATGTCAGTCTGTCTCCTTTTATGATACAGACACATTTCCTGTTTCTAAAATGCAGACCCAAGTGGTTCTTTTTTTTTTTTTTGTTAGCTACAGGACATTTATAAGGAGAAAATCTGAGGTAGTGACTCAGATGAATTGGCCTTAAAAAAGACCCCAAAGCAGTTTTTGCTTGTTTATTCTTAAAAGTATCACTCAAGAATAAAACGAGGCAGCCTGTTTTCCAGAAGCATAATTAGCTATTATTTAGTTTTCCTGTTGCTGTGATAAAACACCAGACAAAAAACAGCTTAAGGGGAAAAGAGTTTGTTTCCCCCACAGTTTGAGGTTCCAGCCCATCAAGATGGGGACGTAACAGCATTGGGACCTTGAGGACCACTGCATCCTCAGTGAGGAAGCAAAGAAAGATGCCTGCTGCATCCAGCTCACTTTCCCTCCTATACAGGTCAGGATCCCAGCCTGGGGAATTGTGCCACCCATAGGTGAGTGTGCCCACTCCCATCAACCCAATCAAGATAAACCTTCACAGGTAACCCTAAGGCCCATCTCCCAGGTAATTCCAAAATTTATCAGTTGGCAATTGGGATTAACCATCACCACTATTAACCATCACACAGACACTCCTTGGGATTTTAAATGGAATTGAATTCATAGGTGGTATTTTTACCTTTAACCTGCTTCTACACTTCTAGCTATGCCACAGTCATGTTCAAGAACTCCCTGTGCAATGGTTAATATTGTCAACCTGACAGGATCTAGAATTGCCTGGAACACAAGCCTTTGGGTATGTCTGTGAGAGATTATCTAGATAGTTTCTTAGAGATGGGAAGACCCACTCTAGTTACTGACTAACTAAAATAGTGAAAGGGAGCTGAGCACCAGCATTTAGCACTTTCTGCTCCCAACTGAGGATCCAACGTGGCCAAATGCATTAAGCTCCTGTGGCCATGGTTCCCCTCCATGGTGGACACATGTGTACCCCGGAACTGTGAGCCCAAGGGAACCCTTCTTTCTTTAAGCTGCTCCTGTCAGCTATCCAGTCACAGGAACAGGACGAGTGACAATACAGGTGACATACAGGAACCAACAATGCTGACTGAATTGAGTCCGAACTCAATTCGTTTGGTAAAATCAAGACTGTACACTGAGGCTCTTCCCAATACTCGATCTGCTTTGTTAACATGCAGTCAGCAGTATATCCTCTGGGCATTCCAGACAAGCCCCACTTCCTAAGTTTCTGCCTGGTACCCTTCCTAAGAGCTCACCATGTGGCCTTCCCCTACCCCATCTCTGTCGGCCCTTCCGGTTACAGCTTCAGGAGAAGCCATCCCAGACTGACCCCATTCTGAATCAGAACCCATCTCCCACTGCCTTGGGTTCTGAAGCCTTTGAACCGATTGCAGCTTCCTGCTTCTTGTAAAACTGGTGACTCGCCGGGCGGTGGTGGCGCACGCCTTTGATCCCAGCACTCGGGAGGCAGAGCCAGGTGGATCTCTGTGAGTTCAAGGCCAGCCTGGTCTACAGAGCGAGATCCAGGAAAGGCGCAAAGCTACACAGAGAAACCCTGTCTCGAAAAACCAAAAAAACAAAACAAAACAAAAAAAAACTGGTGACTCGTGTGTTCTACATTAGTGTAACTTTTTCAGAGGGTGAGCTCTTTCAGGACAAAGGGTCACATCTTTAAACAGGTTCCTTCACCTCTAAATAAATATTTGAGGAACTGAACTAGGCTGAAGTCCAAAGAAAAACACAAAGCATATAAGACAGATGTTACCAAGGACCTTTCATTTCTGATGGTATACTACAGGCTTAAGATTTCAACCCTGCCTCAGTGCTCCAAAATGTCATCCTGTGAAACTGCTGTATCCTCCCCAACTGGACGGAGTGTTTTGTAGCTTAAATTAGATTATGCTAATTGTTAGAATGTGTGCAATTTAAAGATTAATAAAAAAAAACCCTTGCAACACATTTTCCTTAAACTTATGGCACCTGTTCTCACTTTTCTACTAACATGTGCTGGCAGATGACAAAACAAATGGCTAGCATCATGGGAAATCCAGGAAAACCAGTTTCTTAAAGCTGTTTTCTATAATTGGGTGTCTTTTGTGCCGTGGAGCTGAGAATGCATACAACACAGCCTCACCTTCCACAGCTGATGGGGTTGGTTCATAGGCTAGAATTAAATAAATAACAGAGCTTACTGTTTTATAAACAACTTCTACATTATGGGCACCCTAAGTTGCCCTCTGACCTCTTCGCACACGCCATAGTGTTCATACACAGGAAGATCTGCACACCCGCCCCAA